TCCGTCAGGAGCCCACCTTGTTGAAACTGGCAACATTAAAAACCAGTTTTCGTTATCCCCAAACCTATTTTCGTTCGGTAAAATTAAACAAGGAATATGAAACATTGAAAATATATCGTGAAAGTTATCTGCATAATATTAAAAATCTGGAAGTGTTTCGTAGGCGTAATTCAACCTATACACAAGGTACCAACCGCATTGTGCTCGATTGGACGTTGTATCTGTACCAGAGTCGCCACAAACCAATTTCATATTATTATCCCACCTTTAATGCTCATTTGTGGATGTCCGTGTATAATCGATCAGAGGTGCGTGAATATGAACCGAAGAGATTTGCCGAAATTGGTGAATGCCTCAAATTGCCCCAGTTCGTAAATGCTCTGGAAGAAGCACGCATCCTAACCATAGTCTATTTGAAAAGTTTCAACAGCGCCTGGAAAGATTATATGGATTGGATTTCTTCATCTCCCCAAAACGAATACATCACGGACCAAGAAAATCAAATTCTCGCCCAATATCAACTGAACAATGAGAAATTATTTTTTACTTTGTACGCGCAAAACTTTTGTGAATTTGGCCGAGACTTGGCGGAACATGTATTCTTTGTTGGTTTAAAACATAGTTTAAATTTTACCCGAGCATATTCATGTGGCCATAGTGTTGATAGAAGTTATGATTGTTTGTAATGAATTATTGGAGATATATAAAAATCAATTGAATAAAGTGTAAATAAGTTAATTATTATACAAGACACGATTTTACTATAACGATTGTCGTTTAATAAATAATCGAGTCGATATACCTATGTATGCCCATCGATACATCAGTCCATTATAATTTTTATTCGAACACAACTAGACTTAATATAGAATCTAATGTGCGATAAAAAAATAATGATCGTTATTTTAAAATTTTGTGAGTTACGTATGTTAGATTTTCGAATCCTTCCCTCTGTTATGAACACACGTTCAATTTTGATTCGATTTGGCAACTCCTTCATATAGAAACAGGTTTTCAAAAAAGACGCATCCGCATATTTTACATTGGACAAATTAGATATTCATTAAACATTTTTGCCCCTGACCGATTTGGCTCGCATAGGGTGTTAAGTGTTCCTACAAACATGGTCAACATTGGTTAACTTTTATAAATCTATAAATCTAGATCCCAAACTTCGGTATTTTGGAGATCGTGGACACGACCTTCAATCATGCAATAAAGACATATTCACTCGTCAATAGCAGGCAACAAGACGGTTATCATATAACCATAACGCTCCGTTCTATCGCCTTTTTCGAAGAAGTGACGTCCGAGGACGCACCTTTGGGCCAACACACGCACCAATCAGTGACATTTTCTGTTTATTAACATACCCACTGAGTGAGGTGTGGGATTCATCGCTATAGAAAATTGTGTTGCAGTCTCTTTACATTTCTTCATATTTTTGCCAATTGCTTGCGTAGTTGGACGATTATTTACCAAAACCTCTTCTTAAAGAGCGATATGTGGCTGTGGCAGAATGACAATTTTTGTAGTAGGTTTTGATAGGTTGTGAGATAATTAAGCTATCCATTGTTGTCAATATCAGTCTTTTAACTGAAAGAAAAATATGATTTAGCAAAATAGTCAAAATGTCGATTTGCAGTCCGAAACTACAACACCTTCAAAATATCGTAATGGTGCCGGCCGTTATATGGAGTCTCTGTCAAAACATAAAAACTTTCTGAAATTATGTTTATCACCCTCCAGGAACCCAAAATGACAAATTAAAATCCCTAGTGTTGAAAAATACAAGGAGAGAGAGAGAGATAAATATATCTGCAGAGAAATTTATCATCCTTCGAAACCGCGGAATTTCAAATACTTTTGTTTCGTTTAAAAATACGGATAATGCTTTAAAACTTCTGAGAAGTGTATATATGGACATATGCATTCTAAAGCGGAGTACACTAAATTAGAGGTACTTCTGTTGGAAAACCCTTAACAATACTGAAAATGTTCGAACATTTTGTGCAAATATTTTCTTCACTCTCCGAGAACCCAAAATCAAAATACAACCACTACAATTTGGCTAGCCAATTTCAGTGCAATTTCATTTGGAATATACTTCCATTCCCCTCAGATGTAAATTAGTAGAGACATATTGGTACAGTTCCACCCGTTTTCCCGATTGACACATATTACCATCGGTATTATGGCCGGTACTTCGTGTTGGTCACTGCATTTATTAACATTTTTGATCACAATGGCATTTTCTCACGCTTTTAGACGTGTGTCTTGGATCACCATCCTTCTCAAAATTACATCTACAGGATAGGCATTCTTATCTGCAAATCAATCAAAATACTTCTTTCATATTTGGATTGTCATTTATTTTTGCGTGCAAGGTCCCATAAGTTAAAGCCAGCCCTTTCCTCATGGTTTGATGGAAATAGATTGTGATATAGACAACAAGGGTTAATATTCAAATATATCTTCCATTTATAATATTTCGGGTTTCATGCCAAGACCAATAATTCCACGGCTGGCCAATCAACAGGATATTTGGGAAATGGGTTCATAATACAAAAACAAAAATACAATAATAACCCATTAAAGGAAGATCAAACATAAACAAATTCATTGTTGAAAAATGTATATTAAATAAAGCTAGTGTGTAGTTTGTAGCACGTAGTCTGTAAGATTAGACTTTATAAAAATAGTCCTTTATTTTTCTCTGGACTAGAGATTTCTCCAGTTGCCTATATAAAGTATTCTCTATATTAATAATATTTGAATCGTCTGCAGCAATATATTGTTTAAGAGTAAATAATGCATTAATTGCTTCTTCTTTTGTTGGCTTTGCAGTTGCTTCAGTAATATTTTCATTTTTCTCATCTTCAGAATCACTATCTGGTATTTCATTAATTATTTCATCGTCCATGATGCCGAAACAATATCTATTTTCAAATTCATTGACTGAATCTTGAAATGCAGTATACTCGTCTTCCAAGATTTCCTGGACCCCTATGTCGCTCGAAAGGTTCTCTTTGCTAATTCTAGTCTTCTTAAGCAGTTTATTATGGTTCCTGGCGTTACAATCATGACCATGACCTCTTTTTATACCCTTCATCACACTGTGGTACGGGGTATTATCTCTTTGTGCACATGTTTGTAACAGGCAAAAGAAAACGAGATATACACATGGTTTCTTTTGAGAATATACAATATACAACCCTATTGAAATTGAGAAAAATCGGTTCAGATTTAGATATAGCTCCCATATACATTTTCGTACGATTTAAGGTAAATGGTACACCAAAGTCCCTAAATATCTTTCGATGTGCATGAAATTTTGGCACAGCGTACTGAATTGAGACCAGAATGATGTTTGATATAGCTGCCACACATATTTTCGTCCGATTTTAGGTAAATGGCGTACAAAATTGCCTAAATATCTTTGGATTTGCACGAAATTTGGCACAGCGTACTGAATTGAGCCTAGAATAATATTTGCCAACTTTCGCGAAAATCGGTTCAGATTTAGATATAGCTCCCAACTATATATATTCGCCCGATTTAAGGTAAATGATGCACCAAAGTCCCTATGAATCTTCCGATTTGCACGAAATTTGGCACAGCGTACTGAATTAAGTCTAAAACGTTGTGTGTTAAATTTAAATAAAAATCGGTTCAGATTTAGATATAACTCCCATATACATTTTCGTCGGATTTAATGTAAATGGTGCACCAAAGCCCCTATGTATCTTTTGATTTACACGAAATTTGAAACAGCGTACTAAATTAAGTCTAGAATGACTTGAACTAAGTTTCATGAAAATCGGTTCAGATTTAGATATAGCTCCCATATATAGTTTCGCCCGATTTTATGTAAATGATGCACAAACGTCCCTAAAAATCTAGAATGATGTGTGTTAAGTTTCGCGAAAATCGGTTAAGATTTAGATATATATAGTTTCGCCCGACTTTAGGTAAATGGAGCACCAACGTCCCTGAAAATCATTTGATTTGCCCGAAATTTGGCATAGCGTACTGAATTGAGTCAGAAAATTTGCACAGCGTACTTAAGATAGTTTAGCCAAACGTGTGTTAAGTTTTATTGAATCCGTCCAGTTTTAGATATAACCCCCATATGGTTTCGTCCGATTTTAAGTAGGACTTAGGAACAAAACGTGCATAAATTAGTCTAACCTAAACTGTGACAAGTATCGTTGCAATCAATTCATATTTGTATATAGCTTTCATATTTATTTTCATCCGATTTTATGTAAATGGTGTACCACACTCTTCATGTTTTTTTTTTATAATAGAATGACGTATGTGTGTGTGGAAGTACAGATGTAGCCCATATATATTTCGGATGGATGCATCTTTTATATATATCCATAGTGGTGAAGGGTCCGACTTTACTACTTTCCTTACTGGTTTTTTATTTTTTTTAACTCATTTTTGTCTTCACCACAGAATCAAAACAACAGACTAAAGAAAGATCGAGAAAGAAGTAGCAAACTATGCAGTATGAACATGTTCGTACTACCGAAATTGTCGTTAAAAAGTTCGTTCAAACCGAGTAAGAACATCAAGTCACCACATATAATGTAGGTATGCTCTCGAACTTCTTCCATCATTCATACACATTTTATATGCAGAATGTTCTTTGTTTACGAATTAAGGTGATGTCAATGTTTTTACATAAAATGATTGTAGGAGCGATTTAAGATTTGTTGTTTCAAAATATTGTTCTTATAGGAGTGTTTTTCTTATAAGAGAAATTTTTATATAAAAGCATTTTTTGTGCAGGGTGCATAAAAAGACTTGGTGTTCTTGAGAAAGTTTCTTATGTCCGGATTTTCTTATTAAAGATGTTCTTATATCCCTGTTCTACTGTATTTAGTTTATTTTTTATTAAATATTAAGTATTTTTTTAAATATTACATTCTATACTTCATCCAAAAATCTAAAAATTTTATTGTTATAATCAGTCCATTTTTTTACTTCATCTACACTAAATTTGTCTCCTCGTCTTTTTGCACTTTTGCACATTTCAGTTCTCGCAATTTCAATAGCTTAACAAAGTAATCCTCAGCTTGTTTGTTATTATACAAACGAGCTAAATCTGTGCAAGTTAAATTACGCATATCACGGTTGTCCATATCGGCACCAAATTGGATGATCAACTTTAAAATGGTCAAATCCGAATCCATAACAACTGAAAATAAACACAAGAAGACATCATAAAACTTTAATCATCATAACGTGAAATCAAACGATGCACCTGTGCATGGGTGTGTGAGAGAATGAATGACCAGCGACCAGTTTGGCCTTCACTCTACGGATTTTGATCTCTATCTGTTTTTAATTAAAATTTCCGAAGTTTTATGCTAGTGTATTGTCTGAGGGGTAGCTATTGTCATATGTATGAGCATATGTGTGTGTGTTTACTTACCAGCTCGCATTAACAGTGTCCAGCCGCAGGCATCCTTGGACTCCACATTGGCACCGTTTTCAAGTGCAAATTTTAAAATCTCACCTTGATTTGCATCGACAGCCAAATGGCAGGGAGTTAAGCCGTACATATCTCTGGCTTCCATATCGGCTTTTTTGTTTAACAGCATACGAGCCACCGCTACACGGCCATAGTAGAATGCTTGCTGCAGTGTCCATGGCAGAAATGAGATGGGTGGAAATTCATGGCAGAGCAAATATGGGGAAAGGGCAAAAATTAAAAACGGAAATTTGTTGTATCGATATGATGCACAAAACTTTCCTAACTGAAACACGCTGTATAAATGCGTGGTAATTGTTTTGAAAATACCTTTTCAAGGAAGGATGCCGAAGAAAAAACTTTTAAATTAATCATAAGCTAATATTCAAATGAAATTGGATACTTTTAGTTTATAAATACAGAATCGATAATATCTGAAAAAATACAGAATATGTATCTACATCTATTGTGGGGATATTAAAATCGTATAATCAAGATATGAATGTCAAATTTGTAAAAAGTTTAAAAATAGAACTTTAACGCTATCCGTCCCAACATTATCGGATTATCATCTAGATGAGTGCAACACACCTAACTAAATTTGCAGCTGCTTAAATATTTCCAGTCTCACTCACTCAGTGTCCGTTGACTTACTCACATGTAATGGGGTCCGGTTATTATTTGGATTTCCGACATGGACACTAGCTCCGGCCGAAAGTAAAGCATCCACAACACACATGTCGCCAAATGCAATTGCATTCGCTAAAGGCAAATAACCGTTCGGTCCAGGATATTCAATTAGAGATGGACGGCGACGTAAGATCCGTTTAACCAAAAAGTGGTGGTCCTTTTTAATGGCTCGAAACAGAGATATTGATGTCGGTTCGGTGGCCAGTGTACAACCCTAAACAAATGTATTAAAAAAATAAAATATATTATCTGATCATGTTTGGATTAAATTGTATACTCAATTAGATTAATATTATATTTAAAAGTTTTTAAAAAATACTAAAATATCATTCGTTTTAATATTCTATTTTCTTTCTTTTGGTACCCTCCAATATCCGGTTTTATAACAGTACACTATGGGCCAGGAATCCAATTTTTGGCAAAAAGTCCATTGAGGTAGTAAACGTTACATATTTCAAATCTGAGCTGTACATCAGTAAAATTGTATAACATTTTGGTTCGCGGTTTACAAATGACATGAGGTCAAATTCAAAATTTCATATTTGTGTGACTATAATTTTAACCGTCATAATGACGGTTAATACAAGAGAAGGGTCTGGTGATTATAATGAATGTGGAAATTATCAGTAATTTAATGATTATAATAAAAATTTTGCACATATAACTCATAAATATATTTAAAAAAATTGAGTTTCAGAATCTAGTAAAAAATTTTTGGCGATAATATTAATATAGTCGCTGAAATATGCCTTTAAACATTTTATAAAAAAATTAGGTTTACTAACATAGTATGGAGATGATAAAAATGAAAGATATTAGCCCCACCTTCAACAAATTGGCTCTACTTTGGTATTTTGAGTTCGCATTGTGTAGCACATATTCTTTCCAAAAAATATCAATTTTGCTCCACCATTTGAGTAAGTTTGGTGCAACATTTACCAAAAAAAATCGGTATAGGGGAGCTATATCCAAATCTGAACCGATTTTCACAAAACTTCGTAGGCATAAATGTGGACCTCTTTTAATACGCTCTGCAAATTTTTGTCTCAATCGAAATAAATATTGAAAGTTTGGTGCACAATTTACAAAAATCTGTCGAAACTATATATGACAGATATATCTAAATCTGAACCGGTTTTAAACTTCATAAATATCAAACAGGACCTAATTCAGTAGGCTGTGTAAGATTTTGTGTCAATCGGACAAATATTGGGAGTTTGGTGCACCACTTACATATAATTGGATAAACTATATATAGGAGAAATATATGTGAAACTGAACCGATTTCATCAAAATTTCACGCACATCAAACTGGACCTAATTTAGTACGCTGTGCAAAATGTTGTCTCTATCGGAAAAATATTGGAATTCTGGTAAACCATTTATAGCATTTCCACATTAAATGAAACCTTTTACAAATTAAATGAACCCTTTTCCAAATTAAATGAAACCTTTTCCAATTGAAATGAAACCTTTTACAAATAGAATGAAACCTTTTCCAATTGAAATGAAACCTTTTACAAATAGAATGAAACTTTTTCCAAATTGAATGAAACCTTTATTCTTATCTAAGGAAATATAATATTTGCAGTAATTTTAAACCAATATTTGAAAATTAAATCAAAGAATAAAAACAAATATAGTTGTATGGCTATGTAATTAACATAAATATTCTTTAATTCGGTGTGATTTCATTTAATATCTTTACTACATAAAACTAAATAAATAGTAATACAAACTGGGGTATTTCTTGACATTTTAATAAATAAATATTTAAGAACAAGAATTGAATTCCCGGTACTAAATGCGAAATACATATTTGACTTAATAAATTGTTGATGATAAGGTAACTGCTTATCTTAATGAAGGAGTTCCCGACTTGCAGCTTGTGGGATTTTCAAAACCATGTCCATAACGTAATTAGAACAATCTTGCCGAGTAAGCTTTAGAATACTTCGCTCGATTACACCAACAATGTTGTGTTCCATTGAAACGTCACACAGCTCAGCTCTTGCACATAATTTTATTTTTGAAAATGCATTTTCGATTGGATTTAGCATTGGAGAATAAGGCGGTAAGAATTTAAGGTTGCATCTTTTGGATTCGATCAAATTTTTTATGTCATGTCGCTTGTGTATTTGAGCGTTATTTTCCAACTCTGGATTGATTTTCTCAAAAAAAATTTCTATAAATAATTTAGATCTATCTGCATTGACACTGGAATTAGAAACGATTGTGTGATGTACAACTCCCGCGTTGTTTATTGCTGCAATTATAGTGACATTACGACCTCTGACCGTAGGCAACACAATGTGTGCTCTTGTTCCTTGTCTTGAACGGGCTTGGGTTCTTCGTATGTGAAGATTAAATCCACACTCATCAATGAATATTAATTTTTCTCCTTGTTGGGGTATCCATTTTGTAAAGTCTTGAGCATATTTTTGTCTCAAGCCTAATGTTCTGGAGTCATTCATTCGTTCTATTTCAATAGAGGCCATCTTAAACGTAATTTTTAATTTCCGTAATCCATATTCTATGCAGCTTGTGGAAATATTTATTTCATTTTCTCTCAACAGTTTAGTTTTTATGGCTTTGAGGGTAATTCCAGGTTGACTTTCTATATAGAACTCGATCAGACTTAAAACTTGTGTTGTCAACAACTGGTCTATTTCCTCCCACGCTTATTTTCCTTCAATGTTCCAAAATTTTGTTTGTATCTTCTTATAA